CTAAAATGACTAAAATGACATCACTTAATTGATGGTTTTTTACAACAATAATTTTTGGGTAAATTACATAGTAGCCCTCAGGTTTGAGGTCTATTGCAATGTTATACAACATCTTTAAAACATTTCACTTTCATACCTTAAGTACTATTTTATTTTAATTTAATTTCATACAACCATTACATTTTCCATCCATGGATCTATTAAATGCTGACGTGGCTGCCACATATATGACACGTGGCTACCAAATGTCGGCCACGTAGCAAATAAAATAATTTTTTAATTTTTTTTTTTTTAAAACCTGTCTGCCACATTTCTTCTTCTTCTTCTCCTCCTCCTCCTCCCTCCTCCTCCTCCTCCTCCTCCTCCTCCTTTTTTTCTTCTTTCTTCTTTTCTCTTTTTCTTCTTCTCTCCTCTTTTCTCTTCTCTTCTTCTTCTTCCTCCTTCTGGTTCGGTCCTTTCTTTTTGTTTTTTTTTTCTTCTTCTTCTTCTTTCTCCTCCTCCTCTTTCTTCTTCTCTTCCTCCTCTTTCTTCTTTTCTTCTTCTTCTTCTCTTCTTCTTCTTCCTCCTTCTTCTTCTGGGTTCGGTCCCTTTTTTTTTTTTTTTTCTTCTCTTCTTCTTCTTCCTCCTCCTATTTCTTATTCTCTTCTTCTTCTTCCTCCTTCTTCTTCCTCCTTCTTCTTATGGGTTGCAGGGGGTTCGGTCCTTTTTTTTTTCTTCTTCTTCTTCTTCTTCCTCCTCCTCCTCTTTCTTCTTCTCTTCCTCTTCTTCCTCCTTCTTCTTCCTCCTTCTTCTTCCTCCTTCTTCTTCTAGGTTGCAGGGGGTTCAGTCCTTTTTTTTTTCTTCTTCTTCTTCTTCCTCCTCCTCCTCTTTCTTCTTCTCTTCTTCTTCTTCCTCCTTCTTCTGGGTTGCAAGGGTTCGCTCCCTTTTTTTCTTCTTCTTCTTCTTCTTCCAATTTCAGGTTTTTTTTTTTTTTTTTTTTTTTTTAATTTATTTGCCACGTGGCAGACATTTGGTAGCCACATGACATATATGTGGCAGCCACGTCAGCATTTAACAGATTCATGGATGAAAAATGTAACGGTTGTATGAAATTGAAATAAAATAGTACTTGAGATATGAAAGTGAAATGTTTTAAAGATGTTGTATAAAATTGCAATAGACCTCAAACCTGAGGGGCTACTATGAAATTTATCCATAATTTTTTACAAAGACCTAAAAACTCAAAAGTTTGGATCATTAAAAAGCAAACTGACACGATTAGTCTTATTTTTAATCAAGTAAGACATGGTGATTATTTGTATAAACAAGTTAAAGTTACACAATAATGTACAAATTACATCACAAAATTGGCAAAAACTAACCGAATTGGAAAAAGCCAAAACCAACCCATTTACAACCACCCTAGAATAGCTTGCTTGCAAACTTTTCAGAGAAAACAGCAAGATGACTGAGTTCTGATAAGCTCCTTCCAAGCTGCAAAGCCACCTTCAACTCAAACAGTCCCCCATTCTCTCTCCTCTCAACTTGTTTCTCTCTCAAATTTGATTCGATATTCTCTTGCATCAGCCTAAAAAAACCAGCATTGCTCCTATACATTTCAACCACCATCCCGACTTGCCCCCCATGCTCCAATGTATTCACAACACTAGCCAAAGCTCCACAAACCACCCCTACCATTACTCCCCACACCCCAAGATTGCTACTTGAACCCACAAAAACAGACCCCAATGCTGCAAGGGCAGTTAAAATAGGACCAGAAATAGCCAAAACTTTGTTGACTTTCAAGGCTATTTCAGTCAATCTCAAGTACTCAGGCACATCCTTGCTCTTCAAAGCCCTAGCAACCTCTCTCATCTCCCCTTCCAACTTCTCACTCCACCCATTATTTCCATGTACTAAATTACCTTCAACCCCCTGAACCCTAATTTGATGATTCTGTACTCTTGGCCACCACACTGTGGGCTCCACAGTTTTCGGGAACTTGTCAAGCATTTCACCTAACAAAGGAAGAGGGTAAGCCCTGTCCAATGCCAACACTTTCTCTATTGTTTCATTCACATTAATTTTACTCACACTGTTATTGTTGAGAGATAGGGTTGTTTGAATCTGTGCATGGAGCTGTTTGAACAGCCTTGCCCCGTTCCGCTGCTCCTCAGCGAGCTGGGACGGTTGGATTTTGTTCGTCACCGCCAGCATGGCGGCGGCGGATACGTAGAGAAGAGTGGAAGATAGCTTGAGAGCCATAAAGGGTGCTTTTGCAGTAGAAATAGCCCTAGCAGCTGCAGCTAGTCCCGCCATGGTTGCAGCAGTGAGAGTGATTGCGTTGATGGAGATTAAAAGGAGATGGTTCCAGTTGTCACGCTGAGCTCCGATGTTTTTGTGCATCTCCACTCTGTCTGCAATGGTATCCATGATTGCGTACAGCTCAGGAATCACCGTTGGATCATCAGAACTATGGCTAGTATTGTTGGTGTTGATTGGAAAGTTGAAACGGTCATTTTCCAAATTCTGGATCAAACTTCTGGTTGGGAGTTTGGGAGGAGGAGAAGTTGGACTCACATGGAATTTGGGTGTATTGGCGGTGGCTTTAATTACTACTCCTTTAGGAAAACGGATTTGATTATGTGAATCCATCAAGCAAAAGATTCTTGAAGCTTGAAACGTTGCCATACTTTCTTTGGGTTGATCGAATTATTTCTGTTTTTGTATATGAGCAGTATATTGGTTGTGGGTTTCTAGTGAGTGTTGTGGATTGGCTTTAGGCATGGAGGAGGATGTAGTGAAAGATAAAAGCAATTCGTATGGTATTTATACAACAACACTGCCTTGTTACTTATTTGTTGTAGGCCTATAATATTGCATATAGAATGACTTACTTGTTGTAGGCCAATTAACTGAAGAATTATAGAGGGGGAGAGATAGAAAGCGATGGCAAGAGAGAAAAGAGAATTTAATTTTGAGGTGTATTATCTCACTCATTGTGCGTTTATTTACAGTAGTTAGTAGAGATAATCCTTGTTTTTCAAGTAATACATCTAAAATAAAACACTATTTAAAAGATACTATAGAATCCTGATAAGATTTACATACTTACATTTCTAATTAAACTAGATTATGACTGCAACATTATCTATATTTTGGATGCCATCATATGTTTAACACAATAATATGTTATCTCTTGTTTAAAATACTGTCATAATTTTTTCTCCGATATTGATAAGTTTCTCTTCCTTACATATAGTCATTCATGCAAACCTCATTAAAACGGTAGACACGAAACAAGGTGTTGTTGAGAGTTCCTTCTCCATCTCCATGAGTAGGAGTCATCTAATCTCATGGCCTACAAAACCATATCATCTCTTCGGGGTTTGAGCCTTTGACACAATGGGCTACACAAATTGACTTATCAACAGCCATAACGAGTAGATCGTTGATGCGCATCCAATGGAGTCGAGACAAAATGTGACTTATCTTTGCCAATTGCCTTTGTTTAATTAAATTCAAAGACCAAAGGAAACTAGTACCATAAATTAATATTACCTCCTAACTTTGTGCAGAATTATTTCATGAAAAAAATTATATTTGTAATGAAAACATGTTACCTAATCATATTATTAGTTTTACTTTAATTAAAGTTTTTCCCATTTTATAATTCATTAACGTGGTTCTGTTATATTAAAGGACAATTTGTGCAGGTTGAAAGAATATTTGGGATTAATTTTTCTTGAGAATTTCCAAATAATCCCAACACACCTATACTAAATTACTAATCCAATATTTGTCGTAAACTATTGGTGTACATTTTCTCAATTAGTTTATCACATAATTTTGGTAATGGCCATGTAGCCTGCTAGTGGCAGTGATCCTCCTCATCCTATGACATCGAAGGGATCCTGTAGTGGTTCATTCAACTCCTAATTATTATTTAGTGGTTTTCTTCATTATTTGGAATGGTGCAAAGATGATGTGTTTTTCACAATAGTGATGGTTTTCTTTTTCGGTAATACTAAAGAGACCAAAATTTTAAACAGTCACATAACGTGGAAGTTGATGGTTGAATTCCTTCGTTAAATTATTAAAAAAAAAATCCAACCATCAACTGTACATCATGTAGTTTACAAAAAATGATCCAAATTTTTAATCTTTTGAACATCCGGGCTAGTTACTTAGTATATTTTGTAAACGAAATATTTCAATATCTTGTATTACAAGCATCTGACTTGGGGATGCGCACACCAAAGTTCATTTTAGACATGTTTTTTTCAATAACAAAAACCAATTCTCTAATCTTCCATGCCTAACACACTTAGATCTAATTTATAGTATGACATAACCAAAAAATTAAAATAAACCCTGCTTTACTAATAACTTGTGTATAATTCTAATATTCTTTTTTGTGTGTAGCTATAACGATATATTTAAATTGAGGAGTGAGAGAATAAAGTAAAGTCAAATTTACTATCTACGAGATTCAAACCTAAAAGTCACGTCAGTGACTCACTATAATATTATTCAACGCTCAATTAAAGGTGAGGTCGCCAACGTGTTAGATTAATGTTATTCAAAAAACATTAGAGACCGAGTCATTTGCCCTCCAATCTCCATGCTTGTTTGCAACATAAGAAAATCAAAAGCCTTTTGTTGTATTAATTTCATGTCCCCTTGCTCTGAGAGCTTTGACCTCTCACGTTCACATGCGATGATGCAATGTGTGGTCTCCAACACCAACAGGGTAAGCAAAATACATCTTTGACTTGGAATAGTATGCAGGCAGCGGCGGATGTACAGACCAAGGTGGTCCTAGGACTATCCGTAAGTCTACGAAATATACATGTGAAGACCTTTTAGGGACCTTTCGAGTCGATCATATGAGATTTAATGTTTTCAGTTATATGACACTGCGCCATTAGCTTGAGATGCTAGACAGTGACATTCCCGTTGCATTCATGTCATTCCTCTTGGACTTGTAGCATGTCATTTCACACTTGTTACGCAATAAATAATCGAAACAGATCACTCACTTTATTCATTTAGAATATTTTCTAAAATAATCCAGCATACATGAAAACGGGGATCCATGACTTATATCTAGCATATAGAGTTCATAATTGTTCAAGAGCTAACTAGAAAAACTCATAGGGACAACTATCATCTGAGGCCAATCCAAGAATTTCGTCGGTTTCACTTGGCCTTTGGTAGTGCCACAGATCTTGCCTGTAAATTTAGGAAAATTCCCCTGAAAAAAGAAAAGTACAAGCCAGTTTGTTAACGAATCAAGAAAGAATGAACTAAATGCATATTAGAGAGCAAAATGGAGGTTATGTTTATAGATCATACCAGCCAAAAGCGACCAAGCTGTGGAAGATGACGCGGAGGTGAAGTGGCACATACTGGTGATTTATCCACCCCAGAACAGGCCAGAACTGCATTTCGACGCATCAAAGTTTTATGGTTATGAAATTTTTTACATTTTTCGTATATGTCCTAGCATAAATCATACAGAGACAGGATTATATACCGTCCACGATGTGTATTGCACTTTTGGGTAGTCCGACTTAATTTTACTTTTCACTTGCACCCAAGGTCTTCCTGTCTTTCACATCTTCGTTAGACAATTAAGCAACAAAGTTCACATCATCTGTTACACTAACTTAAACTAAACACTCATATCTGCCCCATGTGCTAGCGTGAGTCTTCCAGGCTGGCTTTCTTTGAAAATTTAAGAGATGTTTGAGTGATGCGTAATATTTTAATCTCATATTTAAGTACTACAACTTTTAGATCTTAAACAAACAAATCTTAGGGGATGATGGGTACTACTGCATTCCAACTGTATTTCTCACATGCCAACATATCAAACATAAACAAAATAATCGAAGGTTTTCACATGTACTTACCCTCCACAACCAAGCCATAGTAAAGCATGAAAACCAAGTTATTCCATGGAGAAGCCGTCAGCTGCTCCACCAATACCTGAAAAAGTTTCACCAAGAATATTAGAATGGTCAATATGTTCTTCCACTTTTTCTTGGAGACAGGGGAAGGGAAAATGGGAGCATGAAGGAAAGTATAGCCTACCTTCTTTGCTACTGTTTTTGAATCCTTCTTCCCCTTGAAAATCTTATCTAGTATTGTATGCAGGAAATGCCCAAATGGTCCAAGATAAACAGCTCCAAGAAGCTGCACTTAGAAATGCTAATCGTGTAAAACTTATGCCACAGTAGTTATACACATTAAAACATCTTAGCAGATTAACAATTTTCAGGACAAGCATATACCGTCTTAAAATGATAATACTTATTCATCACACCAAACTTCTTACAAACAACAAGAAAGTATATTATCACCTGGTAATAATAGTAATTACTGCTGCTAGATGGATTTTAACCATCATCTCCGACAGTAACGCAGCATATTTTGCATTTTCTCATGTTAGAGGCTTTAACCATCATGCCCCACTCAAACGTTAAATGAGAGGGGAACAAAAATTCCCAACTTTCACCGAAATTTTGGTACTAACTGATATTTAGGTTCAAGTCCATAACAAAACTAGCAGCCATTTTTTCGACAAAGGCATAAATTAGGTTCAAAAGATCGAACAACATGTTTGTAGACATGTAAATTTATTTCGTGTTTACAAACTTTACAGTGTTACAACAACTTTACTACTTTCCAAAATCCCATCCTTCTTTCATATACAGTATACCACACATACGAAGATGAAAGAAACACACTTTTGTAAAATCGGCAAACGCAGAAACCACAAATAAAGATGGAATCCTAATGGACCTTACCACTTTGAGAAGAAGCCGTCTTATCTGAAGTTTCTGAATGCCAGTGAGCTTCTGAGACACTATGTCACTGAAGGCCGACAAAACGCCCGCTGTAATTGCCTGTTCGGATAACAAACAAAATGATCATCACCAAAGATTCCCAATTAACAACTTGTTACACCATATTGCTCAGCTCGAAACACCAATTAACTACTAATCACAATTAAGGAATTTGAGCTGAAAATACATCATCTTTGAAAAACCCCAGATGAGAAAGCAATCTAAACACACAAAATATTCAATCTTTGGGGGTTTCCTCAACTTTCTCAGGAACCAAACAGGGGTTTAAGAAGAAAAACGGAAATCAAGATAACCCAAAAAAAAGTAAGACATAATTTCATAAAAGGCATAGAATTTGACCTTGGTTCTGAGCGGATGATGCTGAAGCTGAAGCAAGTACTGCTGCAACCCCTTCTTTGCAATCGACCCCATGAGATTTTCTTCGTTACAAAGTCGTCCGATTTCTTGAGAGGAGCTGATAAAAATGGCGGCTTTACTCTTGAGAAATATATGGGGGAACTAATGGGAATAGGTTCGAAGTCAGGACAGTGAGAGTGACAGAGGTTCATGTGTTCGTGGGTCCCGCCTCGCCGGAGGGGAGAGCAGGGGGCGGAGTGCCCAACTAAGTCAACACTGTTGTGTTATTATAATGTCGTAATAATGCTTCGCATATTCTCCGTCTGCGGTTTAACCAATCACTCAGCAACCATAAGCAGGCGAGAGGCATCTTCTCTCTCTTCTTTCAGGAAAACGGGTTCGGAGTGTGAGGTTGACAAAAATGGGTTTCCGATTTTCAGCTTGAAATTATTGAAAAATTAATTTTGGTCCAAATTAGAAAAATAAAAATCTTTATTTATTTTTACAGAAATAAAGATACCGAAAACAATGCAAGTGATGGATTGTCTTAATTAAAAATTATTAGGATTTCATATTTTACTCAATATATCTCTGTACACAAATCCCTCTAACTGTACATTAGTGTAGAACAACGTTGGTGTTAACAAAATATTGCAAACAACAATAATGATATTCTTATTATTTTTTTGTATCACAATTTTATACCACCTTAAGTGGTATCTGATATTGACAGCCACATCATCTAAATTAATTAACATTTAATTTCAAAATGTTAATCACTAATTAATAAAAAGATTGTTAATTAAATGATAATTGTGGTATACAATGAGTCTCATTTTTCCACCTAAGATTATTTAAGTGTTTTAATTAATAAAAAATTGAAATTAAATGATGTAACTTGTCCAACTCATCTACCACCTAAGATGGTAAATAAATGTGGTATAAAATTATGGTAAGAATAACATTACTCTTCAAACAATTATCAAACTTTTCATACAAACAATATTTTTACTCTAAAAGGAGGGATGAAGATTTAGCTCGAGACACTATGAATTGAAGAGGGAGACCATAACTATTAAGACAATCCACTGCTTATAATCTTTTTAATGGATTTGGATCATCTCCTAAACTTAGGAGGCTGAGCCTCTACAATTATTATAACTTTTAGAAAACCCTTGTTTGTGGTCGTGGGCAGTTGGATTTTGATCCAACGACTACAAACATGAGGCTCTCTAAAAGCTATAATAATTGTAAAGGCTCAACCTCCTAAGCTCAGAAGATGATTCAAATCCATTTTTAATTAAAAATTGACACACCCCGTCCCGAAGGAGGGCATGCTGGCCGTCACGTGAGAGTGACGTAACCATTTACACAGTACGGAAGCTTTAAGATACAATTTATAAGTTGATACACCCGAAGGTGAGTCCTAATTTTGTCCAATCTGTCAGAACACCGTCAAATTCCTCGTAGTCACCACACCTTTGTGATTCCTGAACCTGGAGGGGCGCAAAACCAAAATTGAGTGGGTCAGTAAAACAATTCTTTTCCAAATCCAAACATTTCTCAAAACGTTGTAACCCCTCTCCGTAAAACCTGTATACTTTCCCAGAAATGTAAAATATAAATATACATATATATTCTCAAGACTTCAAGTCATTAACTCAACATTTTCATCATAATTATGCCATGCCACATCATCTCAACATTTCTCATATTAATTATGCCATGCCACATCATCTCAACAGTAATAAGGTATGAATGCATCAACATAAATCATATCAGGTGCAATAAAGTAATCAACCGGAGGCCCTCTAATGGCCCTGTACGGTTGAACCTAGAGCTCAAAATCTATCACTCTCACTCTGCCGGAGTCACCAACTGTGACCTGTACGGCCTATTGCCGGAGTCACTAGCTGTAACCTGTACGGCCTTCTGCACATAAGTCGGAACCACCTAATGTAGTCTGTACGACTTAATGGTTAATATTACGCTCTAGTGCTTTCTCATCAATCATCTGTGCACATAATCTAAGGTCACCCACCAGTCGAAATCTCACTAACACTCTTCGACTGGCCCGTCGCACCCACTCCGCGTGGACTGTGCGACTAGCATCTACTTGGATCCAAGGCGAGCGTGCGATGCGGTGAATACTATAAGCACTAAACCATGGTGCAGGATTTGAGCTCAATATACATCAACATCATCATAACAGAAATAAATACTCACCTGTGCGTCCACCGCACCATTTCATACATATGCATCATAAATCAATTCTTACCTGTGCGTCCACCGCACCAATTCATACATATGCATCATATATTAATTCTTACCTGTGCGTCCACCGCACCAATTCATACATATGCATCATATATTAATTCATGCATGGCATTTCAACTCACATTTCTATATACTTTTCATATCAATTCTATGCATGGTATTTCACTTCCCGTTTTTCCACATAACTCATATGCATTTCATTTTAAAACATATTTTCATTTCAATTTCAATTTCTGGGAAAACGTCAAGTATATATATATACGGAAAACAAAACTGCCCACTCACCTGGAGTTCGTCCAACAACTCCCTAGCACCACACATCAAGGCGTCACGACGATCGCCGCCTAGAATAGTAATCAAATCCAACCTCAGAATTCATATCGATAGAATATATAACTTATATAAAATACGTCACTACGTAGTTCGATCCGGAAGATCTGCCACTCAGATTTTAAATCCATAACTTCCAGAGGTCCACAATATATCTCTAGGATAACATCCTAAAATTTCATTACCATCCAACGGTCGGATCGTCAATTCACATTTTTACCTAAATGTGAAAACTATAAAACGTTATTCGAACACCTAACCAACAATCCTTAATAACTTTCTCATACGGTGTTCAATTTAGGTATATGAATATACCACAGTGATCTACTCGACGTCACGGACGTCGACATATTTTTAAAATAATTTTTTTACTGTAGCACGCGCCCCCATGCGCCAAGGAAGGCACGGACCTACGCGCCCCCACGCGCACCTTCTTCTTCCTTGGGTCGCCGGACTGGTTTTTCCGGCGGCCGTTTTTCAAATTGCCATAACTTTGTCATTTCTCAACGAAATCAAGTGATTCAAAAACGAAAGTTGTAGCCCTTGAAGAGAAAAAGATAATGGTACCTTTCACACACCTAGTTCGCCGTGGTTTGGCCGGAAACTGCCTCGAAAGCCTCGGAGGTCGCCGGAAACTGGGTATTTTTCAAATGAGTATAACTTCTTCAATACTCAACGAAATTGAGTGAAACAAAAAGTAAAGTTGTAGTACTTGACGAGACGAAGAGATTGATACCTACCTCGACTCCTAACTCGCCGGGAATGCGCCGGAAAATGCCTCGAAAGTTCCGGCCAAACTTTGAACTTGTCGATCTCCGTGTTCTTACGTCCAAAAACTTCCAACGAAGCACTCCGAGCTTCCTTGGGACCTCACTAAGCTCTCTGTGATCTTGTTTTATCCTAAAACGTAGTCATTTAGAAGATCATGAACAGTACCATTTCACGGGAACTTTGAAACTAGGGTTTTCCGAAGCAAAACTTACCTGAAATGGATACCATCGTGATCGTGGAGTCTTCAGGGTTCCAATGGTGGTCTTAGATTCGTCGTTGGTATAGATTTAGAGTGGTTTTGTGGTGGTCCGTGTGAGTTCGAAGGAGAGGGAGAGAGAACTGAGAGTTTCGTGAGGGAGGGAGAGAGAGAGAGAGACAATGTTACGGGTTATGGGGAGGGTTTTGAGGTGTGGGGATCCCACGTGTCCAACCCAATCCCAATTTCATAAATTCCAACATAAAAATCCAAACTTAAGCCTAGTTTAAGTTCCTAAAACCAAATAACTTAGGAACTTTAAGTAAAATCAATTGTTAAATTTTCGCCCCTTAGTCCCGTTTAAGGGCATTTTCATCTTTTCACGTCCTCGGAATTAAAATTCCGGGACGGGCTGTGACAAAAATGATAGCAAAAGGGGTTAAGAAAAAACTTAAATAATTACTAAAAAATCGTATTTATTCATAAAAAAAAAAACAATGAAAACGTGCATCGCAATAATCTTCGATGAACAAATTAGGTGACTTGGAATTTTTGTGAAAGTATTGTCATAGTTTAATTCATGACGTAAAAGATGATATCCACAAATTGTCTTGAAAATGATAGCAAAAATGGGTTAAGGAAAATACTCAACTTCATTTTTTATTTATATACAAATTAGATTTTATATACAAATTAAAATTTGACATGTATCTATGAATATTTTTTTGTTCTATTAAAATATTAATAATTTACTTTTATATATATCCATATTACATTAGATTGTAATTTGTAGATAAAAGACATTCATAAGTTAATGAACTCAAAGCATGAAGTGCAAGGTTAAGCCACAACTTTGGGTGAACGAAACGTGAGTAGTGCAAGTTTTACAAAAATATAATAATTAAGAGATAATTGCAGCAATGGTCTATGAACTTTAACTCAATTGAAACTTTAGTTCATGAACTAAAAATTCGTGAGTATTGATCCCTGAATTGTTATAGTGTGGAACAATGGTTCTTTTAGCTAACTCATTCAGAACTTCTATCCATTTTTTCCTTTTAAACCTTTTATTTTGAAAGAAGAATCTAATGGAGTTAGCCAAAATGATCATTGCTCCACATTATAACAAGTTTGGAAACCAATACTAATGGATTTTTACTTTAGGAATCAAAGCTCTAAGTGGGCCAAAATTCAAGATAATTGCTCTATTTTTCTCAACAAATTAAAGAAAAACAGAAGGAGGAGGATTGCATTTAGAAAATTAGAATCTGATACATTGAGGCTTGAAAACGAGTAGTTGGGAGACCTCTTCAAATCGCAAGTAGATTATCAAAATTGACCGCTAAAAAACCAAGTGATGAAGAGAGACCTCTTCAAATTGCAAGTAAATTGATCAAATTGACCAAAACAAAGAGTTGTCAGTTTTTTAAAATATTGCATTTGTGAGGGTGAATCAAATGCAATGGTGGACGAAATTTTGAAAAACATTTGAGCTATTATAATTTATAAATTTGTATATTTGGTCGTTAAACTTCTTATTAAATAATATTGACAATGTTTTGTTTAGTCGAATGTGACTTTTTTTTTTGTCAAATAATTGTGATATATTATTGTAATATTACTTAAAAGATGACGCTCCGGAGAGTGAGTCTTGAAAATGATAGCAAATTGGTTCTAAAAAAGCACAATAATTATAGAAAAAAAAAACGGAGAAATATGATATTTATAAAAAAGGGACAGAAAGGGACGGATCCATGACACCATTGTTATTTACATAATTTTTGA